CAGTTTAATGCATAATCCTAAAGGATATTCTTTTTAATATAAAGTGTCACCCTCGAATCTGTTTTTAGAATCCTGTGTTTTCGTTTTTTTTAGTTTTAGTTTTCTTTAACTCGGGACACTGCCAGAATTAGGAAAATATCCACATTTAATGAAGTGGCTAACTTAATTACTAGTTTAATAATAGTTGAAGATCTAGTTACAGTACTTCATTTGATCTGATAGTTGCTGCCAGGAATATTGAAAACTATGAGAATGTTCCAGCACAGTTGTGCTACGGAGGCTGGAGAAGGAGCTCCGTCCAGCCGGGGTTGTCGTCCCCAGGGTCCTGCCTGCCTGGCTTGGCTTATGGGGCAAGGGTCCAGGGAGCCACTCTGCCCTTTCCTGATATTATTGGGTGTTTGTCACGGTCCTCTTTTCTCCTTGTGTTTTATTACCTGTAGGAAGACCCTGATCCTGAAATTGCAGACCCCAACCACCTCCCTCCAGACAGAGACGTAGTGGATGAGGAGCAGACCAGCCCTTCATTTATGAGCACAGCCTGGCTCGTCTTCAAGACTTTCTTTGCCTCTCTTCTTCCAGAAGGTCCCCCAGCCATAGCAAACTGATGGTGTTTGCTCTCTGGCTGCTAGAGGCTTTGGCAGGCGTGGACTGGATCATCTGGTTCTGGCTAGATTTCCTTACCTGGATGTGGCGACAGCACAGAATTAGTAAAAGAATCAACAAAGAGGATGACATGCTTTTGCGATTCTGCAAAAGCAGAAAGTAAGACGCGAAGCCATGATACAAATTGATGAACAAAAAATGCCTAAGGCTTCTCATATCTTTATTCTGAAGAGCTTTAATATATATTGTTGTAGTTTAATAGACATTGTAAGTAGAAGGCATTAGTGTCGCATGTTTATGCCTGAGGAACTTTTCCAGATGTGTGTGTCTGCATGTGTGTTTGTACATAGATGTCATAGATGCAGAAATGGTTCTGCTGGTACGATTTGATTCCTGTTGGAATGTTTAAATTACACTAAGTGTACTACTTTATATAATCAATGAAATTGCTAGACATGTTTTAGCAGGACTTTTCTAGGAAAGACTTATGTATAATTGCTTTTTAAAATGCGTGCTTTACTTTAAACCAAGAGGAGCTTTGCAGAGGTGAAAACCTTTGCCGGGTTTTCTGTTCAATAAAGTTTTACTATGAATGACCATGGCAGAGACTCCTGTCATCTTACCAGTTTACTCCGTTTCCATCATCCCTGGATGGTCAACAGCTGAGTTGCTGATTTTTGAGTAACCTGAATATTGTGCTTCTTTTTATTAAAGGACTGTTTGTACTGATGAAGAAGATAGGGTAAGGCCACGAAAGTTTTAATTTACTAAGATTATGCTTGTGTTTGCCCCCCATTTCCTGATTTAAACAGTACTAGCTTATGTTGTAACCCATCAGAGTTAAATTCCCACGATTTAAAGTTAATGGCATTAAGTACCTTTCACCTGCTCACATGTCATGCTGAGCTTACTTTTGGACTTTAATCCTTCTTTTAAGTATTATTTTTGAGACTAATCTGAAAAGCAAAGTGCTGTGTACTTTTTTTTTTTTTTTTTTTGCGGTGTGCGGGCCCCTTATTGTTGTGGCCTCTCCCGCCACGGAGCACAGGCTCCGGACGCGCAGGCTCAGCAGCCAAGGCTCACGGGCCCAGCCGCTCCGCGGCATGTGGGATCTTCCCGGACCGGGGCACGAACCCGCGTCCCCTGCATCGGCAGGCGGACTCTCAACCACTGCACCACCAGGGAAGCCCTGTGTAATTTTTAACATGAGTGATGCTGTAAGTAGAATGCTGAAGGCCTGAGAGTGTTGCTTTGGGCGAAGTATAATGAGCTTCTTGTGTCATGGTCATGATCATTTGTATGAATTGTGACTGGACACATTGACATCAAATAAACATTCACTGAACAGTTCATAGCCAGGTGCTGGGTAGATACAAAGCTGTTTTATGTATGGTCGTGCTTTAAAAAGCCAACTAAGATAATTATGTAAGGAGTGAAATGGCATAGAGTTTCAGATAACACCAGACCTCCAGAACAGAGGAATGGCCAGTCAGGAGGCAATGATTATTGATGAGTTATGAAGGCAATGCTTGCTTGAAGGAAGAAGTGACTTGAGACTAGAGGTTTTGTAGTTTTACAAGTGAGGAAGTAGGTGACAGAAAAAGCCTGAGGAGCTGGAGAGAGAAGGGTCACAGCAGAAGCAAGAGTGCAGAGATGAGACTTCCCTCCTGCCATGAAGCTGGATTGATGAAAGTGGTCATTAAGAGTTGATACGAAGACCTTTTAAAACTGTTGGGTGGGAAATCCTATCGTTTTGCAGAGCAAGGGGCGTCATCCTTTGGAAGAGGGGCCTGGAGCCCCAGGCAGCTGGCAGTGCCCAGCTCCTGTTTCTGAAGGAGTGGGGCCTCTCTCCCTGTGGTGTCGGGTTGCATCGATTCAACTCCAGATTCCACCAGCCCAAAATAGTTCCAGGATGGTTGGTGCTCCTGAGGACAGCTGACAAGGGTTCAGATTGTCCCAAGCCCCACTAATACAAGAGAAGAACCTTCAGACAAGAGCCAAGGCTTAAGAGCGCTGTTGGGTGGGCGACATGGCAGAAATAACAGTGCTTCCACAACAGTTACTAAATATAGCATAAGGATGTACTACGTATCACTGTTAATACTTAGGAAATTATTGGTTGGGGTCTCTGTTGTTAAGTAGCAATTAAAAAGCTAAAAGCACAAACCAAAAAATTTCCAAATGTTAGCTCAAGCCATAGTAGCTTTTTAAGTTTGCATTTTCCAAGGTGTGTTTTCTTGAATCCTAGTTCTGTAGAAGAAACACTCCAGAAAATGAGCCCATGGTCAAGTAAATTTGGAAACCAGGTTGATTCCAGTTGGTGGGTTTCTTCACGGCAGGATTCCCGGGGCCTTTAATATGCTGATGTACTTTTGAAGGAGGGTGTGTGGTCTGCGGGGCCCTCTGTTCTGTGAACCTGCCCATGACTGAACGGAGTGCCACGGTTGGGGAAATGCAGTTGTTACTATTAATCAACACCTTGTTTGGCATTCTAAGCAGCAAACAGATGCATGGTGAGAAGTGATGGCATACAACCATAATGAACAACGGAGATAAATATTCTTTATGTGGCCGGGGAGGGGATCAGAAGCCATGCGGATCTATAGTCTGACTGAGAGGGAGAGATTACAGGTCATCTTTGTCAGAAGTAGCTCTTTTACCCATTTCTAAGGAAGTTAGCCCTTTGTCAGAAGAAACTGTAGTGGCCTCCCCGAGGTAGTTACCTTGAGAGATGCTGCTGATTCTTCTCAGGACCTATGCCCACCCCACCTCTCTTTGCTTCTAGACCTATAACCAGACTCAAGTCCCAGCAGGCCTCAAGGAGTGAACAGCTTTTTGCTACACACTGAAAGAGCTGCATGATTTTCCCAATTTATACAGACAGATCTCGGGGGGTGCATGGGAATGGATATTAATGGGTGTGGGTTAGTGGTGGAAGCAACACTGAGTTGGGTCAGGCTGACTTTATTAACGTGGATGCACTAAGCAGAGATTCTGCGTTTACTGTTTTAGCATGAAGAGTGAGGAAGGACACTGATAGTTTAGTTGGCTGAAACATAGTCTAACAGGTGGCCTACACTCAATGAAGTTGAAGTGCCAGGATTGCTTTAGGGAACTGTAGCGGAAGGTATTCTGAATCTTAGGAAGATTGGAATGTTAGAGTGGATTTTTTTTTTTTTAATATTTATTTCAGCTGCGCCGGTTCTTAGTTATGGCACGGGGGATCTTCATTGCAACACACGCGATCTTTTAGTTGCAGCATGAGGGTTCTTACTTGTGGCATGGCTGTGGGATCTAGTTCCCCCACCAGGGATCGAACCCGGGCACCCTGCATTGGTAGCGCGGCGTCTTACCCACTGGACCACCAGGGAAGTCCATCGGAGTGGATTTATCATGTCAGACCTGCTCACCCACCCTGCGAGGGTCCAGAGACACACCTTTCACCACGACTGAGAAATAAATTTGTGAGGGGAGCCCAGCGTCATTGCAGAGCTCTGTGGTCATTCTTCTCTGTAGGTCAGAAATTACAGTGGGAACCACAGTTACTGAACTAGGATCCTTAAATGCAATAGGGATAATCGGATTCCTGGGTGGCAGGGGCCAAGTGGTAGAACTTAAATCACCGGAGATAAGGTGGCTGTGGATACCATTATGGTACCAGCGGAGTCTAAAAAGAAAGAGAATCGTTGGACTTGCAGAGACCTTGGGCATTGGCCAGTTGATCATGGTATCCCTTGGAAAGAAAGAAATGGGGGCAGGCTAACTGAATTCTTGATCTGTGTAAGCAGAAGTGAACAGAAGTCTCAGTTGAATCACCCAAACGGAATCAGCTTCTCCATCAGTTCCCGGACTTGAGACAGCTTCCAGACCCAGAAACCCTCGAATGAAGCGGGGCAAGTCTCCTTGAGGAAGGACCCTGCAACACTGAAAAAATTTACACTGTTTCGCCCAGCCTTCCCCTAAAGGAACCTGAAGCTTTTTATCAAGGTGACTGTGCATTGGGGAAAAGGAAATAATCAGACTTTGGGGAGATGGCTGGACACAGCCTCTAAACTAAAACTAATTCAAGGAGACCCAAAACGTGACTGTGGTCCGCCAGTCAAGAGTAGAAACTTATGGGGCTTCCCTGGTGGAGCAGTGGTTGAGAATCTGCCTGCCAATGTAGGGGACACGGGTTCGAGCCCTGGTCCAGGAGGATCCCACATGCCACGGAGCAACTAACCCCGTGCGCCACAACTACTGAGCCTGCGCTCTAGGGCCTGCGAGCCACAAATACTGAAGCCCTCCCACCTAGAGCCCGATCTCCGCAACAAGAGAAGCCACTGCAATGAGAAGCACGCGCACCTCAACGAAGAGTAGCCCCCGCTCGCCGCAACTAGAGAAAGCCCGCACTCAGTAACAAAGACCCAAGGCAGCCAAAAATAAATTTTTTTAAAAACGCTCAATTTAAAAAAAAAAAAAAAGAGTAGAAACTTATGGAGGTCAGGTCCATCTCACAGTAGGTCCAGTGGGTCCCTGAACCCACCTTGTGGTTATGGCCCCAGTTCCGGGATGTATAGTTGAAATAGACACACAGGCACATCTTGTTTTACTGTGCTTCACTTTATTGTACTTCGCAGATAACTGTTTTTTTTTGCAGATTGAAGGTTTGTGTCACCCCTGCGCTGAGCAAGTCTATCAGGACCATTCTTCCAGCAGCATTTGCTCACTTCGTGTCTCTGTGTCAGATCTTGGTGAATCTCTCAATGTTTCAAATCCTCCACCAGCAAAAAGATGATGACTCGCTGAAGGCTCAGATGATGATCAGCATCGTTAGTTAGCAATACAGTATTTTTAAATTAAGGTATGTACATTGTTCTATTAGACATAATGTTATTCCACGCTTAATAGACTATGGTATAGTGTAAACATAACTTTTACAGGCACTGGGAAACCAAAAAAAGTTCCTATGACTCACTTTATTGCGATATTCGCTTTATTGCAGTGGACTGCAACCAAACCCGCGGTATCTCCGAGGTGTGCCTGTACTTAGCAACGGGCAGAATCCCCACATTGGTTCCCTCACGTGTGGAGTGAGGCCTATTATGGTAGGAAAACCAAGTGGAAGTCACGAGGACTGCCTCTACCTAGGAAAATGGTAAATGAAAGACAATACTGCATCCCTGGAGGGACTACAGAGACCAGTGCCACCATCAAGGACTTGAGAGATGCAGGGGTGCTGACTCCCACATCTCCATTCAACCCCCGTTCTGTCTGTGCGGAAGACAGATGGATCGTGGAAGGTGACAGTGGATGATCATAAACCGATGACTGGAGGTGGTGGCTCCAATTGCAGCTGCTCTTCCAGATGTGGTTTCATTACTTGAGCAAATTAACACATCCCCTGGTTCCTGGTTTGCAGCTACTGATATGGCAAGTGCTCTTTTCTCAGTACCTGTTAGTAAAGACCACGAAAAGCAGTTTGCTTTCAGCTGGCCAGACCAGCAATACACCTTCACTGTCCTGCCTCGGGTAGATCAACTCTCCAGCTTGATGTCATTATAATTTGGTCTGCAGGTATCTTGATCACCTTTCCCTTCCACAAAATATCCCACAGGTTTAGCATCGATGATATATGCAGATTCCATCTAGAGAACAAGAAGTAGTAACTATAGATATACTGGTAAGACATTTGCATTGTCGATGGTCGGAAATAAATTTCACCAAAAGTCAGGGGCCTTCCACCTCAGTGAAATTTCTAGCAATGCACTGGTTGGGTGCGTGTCAAGATACCTGTTTTTTCAGTGAAGGATAAGTTATTGCATCTGGCCCCTCCTGCAGCCAAAAAACCAGGCACAACACCTAGTTGGCCTCTCTGGATATTGGACCTCTCTGGGTGTGTCACTCTGGCCCATTTACCAAGTGACCTGAAAAGCTGCCTATTTTGAGTGGGGCCCAGAACAAGAGAAAGATTTGCACCAGGTCCAGGCTGCTGTGTGTGCTGCTCTGCCACTTGGGCCACAGGATCCAGCAGATCTCCTGGTGCTTGAAGAGGCGGGGGCAGGCAGGGATGCTGTCTGGAGCTTGCGACAGGTCCCTACAGATGAATCACAGTGGAGGCCCTTAGGATTTGGGGGCAAAGTCCTGCCATCCTCTGCAGATAATCCCTTTCCTTTTGAGTAACTACTGGGCCATTGGATTTACATCTGCAAAGACTCTATTTCCAAATAAGGTCATCCAGGGTTCTGGATGGACGTGAACCTGGGGGGACGCAATTCACCCCACAACAGGGAGAAGTGCTTTCCGGAGACACAACATTGATGTCATTGAACTGGAAGTTCAGACAGCTACCAGCCACTTTGGGCTCCTTAAGCCTCCAAGTCGTCAGGCAGAGAAGGGAGTTATCCTATTGGCTGGGGTGACTGACCCTGACTACCAAGAGGAAATCGGGCTGCTACTATACAATTAAGGAAGAAGATGTGTGGAATCCTTACAGGAGATCCCTAAGGCTACCCTGCCTTAAAGTCGATGGAAAATGCAATTAAGGCAGAACTACTAATGGCCCTGACTCTTCAGGAATGAAGGTTTGGGACACCCCAGCAACCACGACCAGCCAAGGTGCTTGCTGTGGGTGTGGAATGGGTAGTGGAAGAAAGTAGTTGTAAAGACCAGCTACATCTATGTGACCAGTTGCAGAAATGAGGCCTGTAATCATCTTGTAATTTTCATGTAGTTCATCACCTTGTGCTGTTCGTATCTTCAGACACAAACTTGTATAGATATATAGTGAGTATAAAGTGAATCTTTTTGTCTTCTTCCCTTATAACCTTATCATGTAACATAAGATGAATTAATAATAGTTAACTTTACATAACAGGATCTTTCTTCTTTGGCCATGCAGCCTGCGGGATCATATTTCCCCGACCAGAGATCGAACCCCTGCCGCCTGCAGTGGAAGCACAGAGTCTTAACCACTGGACCACCAGGGAAGTCCCTACATCACAGGATTTAGGTTACAGGATCTCACAGAGAAGAGTAACTGTCACCCACGGACTTGGCATCCTCTTCTGGGGAAAGGATCTGTGTGTTCTGGGTTATAGACAGGATAGTTGCATCACATTCGATGGAAGCAAGGCTTTGTTATTTTCTTTATCTGGAGATTAAGTGTGGTTTAAGGACGTGTGCATGGGTAGCAAGCTGATAAAAGGTGAACTGGGCTAGGCCTAGTCATTCAATCAAACACTAATCTAGGTGTTGCCAGGAGGTTATTTTGCAGATGTGATTAACATCTACAATCCGTAGACTTTAAGTAAAGGAGATTATCCTCTGCATCTGAGTTGGCCTCATCCAGCTAGCTGAAAGATCTGAAGAGACAAATTGAGGTTTCCAGAGGACGAAGCCGTTAAGGCCGCGGGCGGCAGTATCAGCTTCTTTTCAAGAGTTTCCAGCCTGCCGGCCTGCCCTGCAATGTCAGACTCACCTAGCCAGCCTCTACGATCATGTAAGCCCATTTCTTGAAAGACAGAAACAAGCAAATAATCTCCTATGGGTTCTTTTTCTCTGCTAGAGCCCTGACTGCTAGAGGGCCCCAGCTCTGGAGGTTAGGAGTCCTGCTCCTCAGCCTGGTGCACCACACTGACCAGTGGGGTGGCTGCCAGGCAGGCTGTGTCCCTTGTTCAGAATCAGCTGCCCCCCGGCTCTGCTTGAGACCAAAGGCATATGGGGGCAGCTCCAGAGAAGGTATAAGGCTTTGCTCTGTGCCTCACAAAGAAGGTTTCCCATTCCAGAAGTGAGCTGGGCAGCCTTGGGGAAATGGGAAGAGGCAGCCTCCGCTGGAAGCACGTCCTTAGGGTGGAAGGGGTGGGATATAACGGTGCAGGGAGCAGGAAGTGAGGTGGGGCTAGCTGTCTCCGACGTGACACATCCAAGAGTGGCTTTGCCCGCAGTGGTACCCAGTGGCCCGGCAGCAGCCGACTCGGACGCTCTGATGCCTGTGGTACTCAGGCATGGCAGGAGCTTGCGTTCCCGGCCACACAGCTGGCTGAAGAACACACAGGCAGGCACGTGTCACGGGGTCGACAGTCACAGTTACGCACTCAGGACCTTCCTGGTGCCGGGTGTTCCTGCCCTCATGGAGCTTACATCCTGGCAGGATGACAGAGACTAAAGAAGGAAACAAGTGGACATAAAATGACAAGTACTGGGGAAAAAACAGAAAGAAAAGAGAATAATGGGATGGGGGACACTAGTTAGCAGTGGGTTTGGGGGAGGACAAGTGGTTAGACAGTGGTCAGGGAAGGCCTCTGAGGAGGTGACGCCGGAATGATGAGCTGAAGCAAACCAAGCAAAGATTTGGGGAAGGGTCTTCCAAGTAGATAGGTGAGTGCAAAGGTCCTGAGGCAGGAACAAGGTCAGCATAGCCAATGCCTTAGAAGGTGGCAGGCGGCTGAAGTTGAGTGAAGGGGGTGGTGGGTGAAGGGATCCAAAAGTGGGGGGACAGATCATATAGGGCCTTCTAGGCCATCGTAAGGAATGTGGGTTCTAGTCAAAGTGAGATGGGATCCATTGGAGGAGTCATAAGGGAGGGAACAGTATGGTCTGATGGATTATAGTTCAAGGACCTGGAGTTTTCCGGGGTGGGGGGGAGGGAGGAGAAACGATTTACACACAAGGGGTATAGGAGGGAAGACTGTGTACTGAGAACCTGCGGGGAAGGCCTCAAATCCAGGGTCAGAGCAGGGAGCTGAGGGCATGGAGGAGAGTGCCAGTGATGACAGAAGGCAGGTGGGAGGATTTGGGGTCAGGGAGGACTAGGGGGTGGGTTGGCTGAGGGCTGCAGGGAGCTGCAGAGGGTAAGAGTCCTGGTGTGGGCTGACTGGGAGACCCGCATCTAGGTGGTGCTGGAGACAGACAGGGAGGCGTTGGCAGGATGAGGCCTGAGAGGTCGTCCCTAGGGAAGGGCAGAGGGTGCAAGGGCAGGAGAGCTGGTTTGAGCCCTGGGGCCTCTCCAGGCTGAGCCCCTGCTCCCTCATCCAAAACATAGACCCCTAGGACATAAACTGCTCTGTCCACCCCACAGGGGCCATGAGGCTCAAAATAACGCAGTGTTCCCCAAAGGTGGCAAACGTGCCCTGGGGTGGGTGTGCAGAACCAAATCTAGAGGGTCTGTCCCTTATTTTAATAACCGTGTTACTTTTCAATGTATTAGATAAGCGTATTTTTCTACTTAAAGTGGAGATACGAAGTTCCCTTTTAAAATACATTTAAGTAAAGCGAGTCGGTTTAAAAGGTTAAGTAAGTAACAGTCTAAAGCATGTACAGAGAAGGCAGAAATCATGGCAGTAGTTTTTGAATGATGGAGGTCAGGAAACACTAAAAGCTTTGTGAACATACAGCCCATGAAAATGTTTTAAAAAAAAAGACACGAATCTCATCGCGATCGTTTGTTTGGGTGGCTCTTGTGGGTTCATGTGCACACGTCTGGGCGTGTACGTCTCATAGGCAGATGTAGCTGGGGTTGGTGTGTAGGGGACCTGTGTGTGTACGTGGGATGTGCACATCCGTGCACACACACACGCAAGGTTATTTGTATGTGCACGTGGATTGCTTTACCTGGGCAGGTGTGTGGATACAGGTACACCAGGTATGCGAGCATTTTGGGTTACAGCCGCCTCCCCCTCCCAGCCCTCAGCGCTACCCAGTGGCACTGGGCTGGGCCGGAAGCCTGGGGCCAGCTGGTCTCCAGCCACCAGGGGGCAGCAGAGGCCGAGCAGGGCCTTCTTCAGGACGGGTCTCCTCTGAGTTTGGCATGCGAGGCCCTCTGAAGTCTCCCTCTGTCCTGTCCCCACTTCCCCAGATCGCCCCAGGCCTCTGCCAGATTAGCCAGTGGCCCGTGGCTGAGGCTTGCTGGAAGACCTAGGACTCAGAAAATGGACCTGTGGTCGTAGATGGTTTGGGACTCCTGGGGTCATGGGGGGAAGGGACCCGGGTTCCTGAGGTGCTGGCATCTGGAATTCTGGGGGGGTGTACAGCTGGCTGGCCACTTCTGACTCTTCTGCAGGCTGGGCTCTGGGTCTCTTCTCAGGGGTGCTCTGTAGCTGTCTGTCTCCCTTACTCTCAGCCCCACGCCTGCTCAGAATACAGCTGAACCCTTGGGCTCACCCCTGGCTTGTGGCGAGTAGGCCCCTCCGAGGCTCCCAGGTTGGCATCACAGGGGCAACTGGATCCTAGAGCCCTTCGGCTCTGTCCCCGCATCCAGGGCCACCACCTGCACTAACAGGGAGGAGCACCCCCAGGTCAGCCCAGTGGCGGCAGTGACTAACCCAAATCCCGGAAGCCCCCACAGTTTTTCCATCCACAAATATGTAACGAGGTCCTACTGTGTGCCGGGCACTGCTGCAGAAACTCACCTTCTAGTGATGGGTGACACTTCTTCCCTGCCAGCCTTGAGGACCGAGGCCTCGCTAGAGCAGAGTATATTAACACCCAGCCTGGAGAAGAGGATGAGCCATGCTGATAAGACAGCCGACTGTGGGCCAGGCAAGCAATACCCCCTTTAATTCTCCCACCAACCCTAGGAGATGTGTAAAATGCGCCCATTTTATGCTTGAAGAAACTGAGGCTCTGAGAGGTTAAGTGGCTTACCCAAGTTGCACAGCCGGTGTGTGGCCCATGCTGGGAGCCACGTGTAGCCTGCTCGCATTCATAAGTTCTCTTTCTTTAGAGACCCCTGGGCACGACGTAGACACAGCTGCCTCCTCTTTGTTGTGACTGAATATGAAGGAGCAAAGTCAGTCCTCCGGGGACTCAAGGGTGACTTTATCTCCCCCATCCTTGCCCTCACCCCCACCCCAGGTGACCAAGTTAACAATCTAGTGTGTGTCCTTCCAAATAATCCGACATGGACCTACATGTACGTAATCAGGGTCTGGGGCTGTCGTCGTTATCTGCTTTAGAGACATTCTTCTCTCTCGGGAAACTGGCAAACTGAACAATGCCCCCTCCCCCTCCCCCACTAAAAAGCTATCCCCGCCCTAATCCCTAGCTGACTTTTTGCACTTTTACAATCATCGTGATGTAGGATTCCATTTACACAAAAGGTCCAGAGCAGATTTGTGGTTGCCAGGGGCTGGGGGGTTGGGAGGAGTGAACTGCTTATTGGGTATGGAGTTTCCCTTTAGGGTGAAGAAGGTGTTCTGGAATTTGACGTTTGCACGCAACGCTGTGAGTGTATTAAATGTCGCTGCACTGTACCTTTTAAAATGGTAAACTCTAAGGTATGTGTACTTTACCATAATAAAAGTAAAAGAGGATTAAATGAGATGATGTAAACAGCATATAGCTCAGAAATATAGCTGAGATTATGATTATTAAGTTTTAAGAATTTAAGACGCAGGGTTCTAAGTTTGAAGGGATAGATTTTTTTTATTGAAATAGTTGATTTAAAATGTTGTATTAGTTTCTGGTGTACAGCAAAGTGATTGTTTTATATATATATATTCTTTTTCAGATTCTTTTCCCATGCAGATTATTACAAAATATTGAGTATAGTTCCCTGTGCTATACAGTAGGTCCTTGTTGTTTATCTGTTTTATGTATAGTAATGTGTATCTGTTAATCCCAACCTCTTAACTTATCCCTCCCGGCCAGGGATAGATTTTTTTTTTTGGTTTTGGTTTTTGGTTTTGGTTGGTTGCTTGGTTGGTTCTATTTGTTTTATTTTGCCTTTTAAACCTTTTTTTAAAAGCTAAATTTATTTTATTTATTTATTTTTGGCTGCGTTGGGTCTTCGTTGCTGCGTGCAGGCTTTCTCTAGTTGTGGTGAGCGGGGGCTGCTCTTCGTTGCGGTGCGCGGGCCTCTCATTGTCGTGGCTTCTCTTTGTTGCAGAGCACAGGCTCTAGGCACGCAGGCTTCAGTAGTTGTGGTGCATGGGCTTCAGTAGTTGTGGCTCGCGGGCTCTAGAGTGCAGACTCAGTAGTTGTGGCGCATGGGCTTAGTTGCTCTGTGGCGTGTGGGATCTTCCCAGACCAGGGCTCGAACCCATGTCCCCTGCATTGGCAGGTGGATTCTTAAACACTGCGCCACCAGTGAAGCCCTTATTTTGCTTTTTAATCCATTACCCCCTGGGCCTCTCATACTCCCATGCCAGGCCCCCCAGCAGCCAGCTGCACTAAAGGATGGGCATGCCTCCCTCTCTGCTGTGGGTACAGCCGCGACCGCCAGAACCCTGGCCGGGGCACCCTCAGTCACTGCCCTCCACGACCCCAGGAGTGGAATATGAACAGCAGCCAGGAGGACAGTAGCCCGCCAGGGAGTCTTCCCGTTCCTGGGAAATGGAGCCCATTAACGAGGCTCCCGAGCCCCAGCCCGTGGATGGGGGTGTTGGGGATTCCTGGGCGGAATCTCTGCCCTCCAGCCCCCACCCTGCTGTGGCCAATGGGCGCATGCCTGCTCTTCATACCCTCGCGATGACTGTGGGTATGTACCCCCCAGGGGCTGGGTGCCCAGGAGAAATAGGCCCCCCCTAGCTGGGCCTTGGGAATCAGTGAGGCTCACCCAGCTCTGTGAGTGGGTGTATCACGTGGGGCTAGGGAGGGACCTGCCCGGGAGCAGTCTGGGCAAGCCCTCCCTTTGTGGATAGCATCCTGTCACATCCTTGCGGCCCTGGCTCCCTGCCTGAGGACTCTTGAGAAGGAGAAATCGGCTGTTTGGTCTCAGCTGCTAAGGGGAATTCTTGGCCCCAGCTGTGAGTAAAACACTGTATGTCATAGTTTTTGAAAAATAATACATTCATGTGACCCAAAATTCAAAAGGTGTGGAATTCTCCCACCCCTTTCTCCCAGACACCCAGTTCCTCCCAGAGGTAGCCCATGTTTTCAGCATCTTGTGTACCCACCCAGAGATACTTTGTGCTGATCAAGCAAAAGCCTATATATAGGACTCTTTTTTTTTTTACTGGAGTATAATTGCTTTACAATGTTGTTAGCTTCTGCTGTACAGCAAAGTGAATCAGCTATATGTATACATATTGGGTCCGCTGCCTTTATCTCCTTGGATGCAAAGGGCAACGGTCAACATTTTCCCATTTTACAGATGAGGCAGCTGAGGTTCAGAGAGAGCCAGTGACCAATCCACGGTGACACAGTGAGTGAGTCAAGGGCCAACTAGACCCGATCCCTGACTCCCAGTGTGTGCTCCTACCCACCCCCACTCGGGGCTCGGGGACTTGTGAAAGCCCTCTGCACAGAATACAGACCTTATAGTTTAGGTCCTCCTCCTGATGTCCATCAGCTCCATCATCTAGAATATGTTAGGGCGCCTCTCTGAGCTCAGATCCCTCACCTATGAAATGAAGATAATAACTGATAGCTCCTTAGGAGGTTATCGTAAGAACCAAATAAGATAAAGCATGTAAAGAGCTCAGCACAGCACCTGGCTTTTCTACGCCATTCAACAAGCTTTTATTGCGGGCCTACTATGTGCTGAGCACCTACTATGTGAGGATCCAGTGCAGCCATGATCCTGGCTCAGGGAGCTCACAGCCTAGCAGGCTCACAATAAGAGCTCAGTGAATGGTGGATGTTATTAT